GAAGAGACAAGCAGATATGAGGGATGGTGGTGGGGAAAAAAATAGTAACAACAACAAAAAATAGTCATTATTGCTAAGTGTACAAGCAGTAAATGATATTAGATGTGGCACTGGTGAAAGCAAAATTCACTAATCTCATCAGGATCTTCATTAAGAGAAGTGTCCACCAAGAGGCACAGTACAAGGGAACATCCTTGTTCAGATCCAGACATCACATTTGGGAGGTACATTAACAAACAGGGAATCTGTCAGCAACTTGGAGATAGAGAAAATCATGATGGTAAGGTGGGAAGGGTTTGTCTTTACACAAATGACTGAAAGTACAAATCACGTTTAGTTTGGAAAAGAGAAAAAAACAAGAAAATGGAAAGAATGAATTGCAGCTTTCCCAGGGAAAGGGGGGAAATGTCCTTCTAATTGGATTTGTTTGCTTTCATTTCACTCTCATCAAATATCCTTCTTGCGACTTGGTTTCCTATGCAGACTTTCCTGCCGACGGAATATGACCACAGCACACCAGTCACAGTTTGCTCAACAGTCAAAACCTTCACTCTGCTCATAGTGTGCTCTCTCTTTCAGACTTCCAGGAAATGGTTTCCCCATTTTTATGGATAAAGAAATGGGAGTTTCTGTGGCAGAACTGTGATTTGCATCCAAAGATACTATATTTGTGCTCCATGACAACAGGAGAGCTTACGGTCACAGAAAACTTAGATGTACAAGAAAGTGGCAATCATGTAGTAGAAAATGCTGCAAAGAAGTCAAGAATGAGGACTGAAAAAATGTCCTTATATTTAATGGTCTGGGAAACTTTTCAGTAAAAATGTGTCAGAGGCCAAAATGAACTAAATTAACGAGCAAGAAAATAAAAAACAGGTGTGAAGTATAAAACACTCATTCAAGAAATCTGGCAGCAAATGAAAGTACAGTGTCATAAAGAGATCTGTTTTACTTCAGTTCTGATACTAGTGTCTTTTCTGCCACCCGTAAAACTGGGGAATATGTTCATTCTGCAGAGAGGAATAGGACAAAATGGTGAAGATCCCCCATTCACAGTGGTTTTGGAAAGAAGCAGATTCTCTGTACAATGTCGACACTGAGAAGGGGATCTTCTATTCATTTTTTCTGTGAGTGGACATTTTGAATCCAAACAAATGGTTTTATTGGCGTCTCTTTGTTTTTTACTTTTGGAATACATTTTACATTATGAAAGTCAGTAGGAAAAATACAATTCAGTTTACAATGCTTCAAAAATCACTTCTGGAACACATCTATTTATTTAGTTAACGCACAACTTAATAACAAACACTCTGAAAGAGGGCCTGTGTTTATATGTGAAATGATACAATGATTTTTTTTCTTTATTTTAGCTATTAAACATTTTTCCTTTAAGAGAATGATGTTTATTTCTTTTGGTGCTTGGTGTTTTAAAGTGAACTTACCTGTACTAAGAGGTTTTATATTTATTAGTATAAGTATTCAAGGTTTCAATCACAGGATCCTGCTCAGTGAATTTAAATACAAAGGGATCATTAATGTAGAACTAAAATCTCTCATTAATATATACTATAAATCTCTGCTAGTCAGAAAAATTTATATTTCAAGGGTTGAGGGAACACTGTATAATTTAAAGTACATTTCATCATTCTAAGTATTGGCTAGATAAAGCATTCCAGGCATGATTTTCTTTTATGATAAGCTCTATGATAAGCAGTTTTCAAGTACCAGCGTTTATTATGTTTTAAATCTTTTCCATGCCATTCATGGTTATGTATCTATTTGTAGATGAGACACACCAGAAATTCTGACTAGTGATATGGAGCAGAAATAAGTAGTCACACTAGTTATCTTTTACTAAATTATGGTTGGCATATGGACAGAGTGTGACTCAAGCCAATCCTTTTGGTCCTTCTTACAACAAAAGTTTGCAAAACATTGTCTATTTCTTTCCTTCTCTTTTTTCCTCTCCTCACTCTCCACCGTGCCTAGAGTTTGGGAATAAAGCAAAACATTTTATCTAAAAAGATATTTGGCTGGGCCTCCCTGGTGGTGCAGCAGTTGAGCGCTGGGTTGCGAAGCTGCTCACAGCCTCTGCTGCTCCCCTCAGCAGTGTACTTCTTCACTCTGCCTGTTCTACTCTCCGCTCTGGCTCTGGTGAATTCTCTCACCCTCCCGCGCCTCTGACTGTACCCAGTGCTTGTATAAATAAATAAATAAATCTTTAAAAAATAAATAAAAATCAATACTATGTATAAAAAAAAAATTTGGCTGACACAAAATTCAAATATTCAAAATTGAACTCCTTATGGAGTTACCACCTTTTTTGGCCCTGGCTACAGTTCTTTATTTTTTTTCAAAAGGATACAGCCCTTTAGGAAAATGTGTCAATCTTTCAAGAATCCTTCAGTGAACATAAAAATTGATTTATGCTCTGTGATAGCATCCTAAGGTTATATCACTGAAACTCAATATAAATTAACTTCACACTAGGACTATTTTTTGTGCCTTCCTACTTTCCTTGATTCAAAATATAAGTTAGTTTTTTTTTTCATGAAATTTTGTGTTTTACATTTTTTTTAAAAAATGATTTATTTATTTATACAAGCACTAGGGTATAGGCCAGAGGCACGGGAGGGTAAGAGAATTCACCAGAGACAGAACAGGGAGCAGAACAGGCAGAAGGCCCAAGTACACTGCTGAGGGGAGCAGCAGGGGAGGTCTGCCTCGCCATGTGGGAATCTCCCTGGCCAGCAGGGAATCGAACCCGAGCTTCACAGGACTGCGCTCAACCCGCTGCGCCACAGGGAAGGCCCATAAATTAGATCTTGTTTCAACACAGTTGTTGATATGGAACTCTGGGATCTAAATAAACTGCTGATTACAATAATGAAACATAGACCTAAAATGAAAGCTAGCAAGCACCACAAGGCTTTGGTATTAGAAGTAGAAGAGCTACCATATTTGAGGGTAGGCAAAAGGTTCTATATTATCTAGTATATGTTATATTTGATATATTATGATATATTATATAAACTGTAACATTTGTCTATTACAAAAATGATTAACAAATCTTGAACTCTAATTAATGATGAAATGTACAGCTGTCTATAATTTACTTTGATAGCTGGAGGAATATATAGATGGACAGACATGAGATAAAGCCAGAAATATAATAAAGTATTAATGACAGAATCTCAGTTGTGGGAATAGGTCTTTACCATAGAGTTCTTTTAACTTGGCAGTATGCCTGGAGTTTAAAAATAATTACAAAAAAAATAAAATAAAATCTGTAAGGTGATCATACTTATTAATGTTACACCTAGGACTGTGGAAAGAAGGAAAGGGAATGATGGAGGGGAAGAAGAAAGAATGGAAAAGAAAGAAGGAAAGTAAAAAAGGAAGACAGAAGGATACTAGAATTAACAGTCAAATGTCAAGAAGATCTCAAAGTAACAACTTTATATCTAGTCCCAAAATAACTCAGAGGGCTTCAGGCATTTGCTTGTATGGAATTAGTTATTTTAAAAATACCGTATTCTCTTGGGCCTCCCCGGTGGCGCAGCGGTTGAGCGCTGGGTTGCGAAGCTGCTCGCGGCCTCTGCAGCGCTCCTGCCGCCCGCTGCTCCCCTCAACAGTGTGTTTCATCAGTTTGCCTGTTCTGCTCTCCGCTCTGGCTCTGGTGAATCCTCTCACCCTCCCGCGCTTCTAACTGTACCCAGTGTCTGTCTGTCTAAATAAATAAATCTTAAAAAAAAAAAAAAATACCGTATTCTCTCACATCAGAATGTCTAGATTTGAATTCCAGTTCTACCCTTACCAGATGAATGGCCATGGATAACTTAATTTTTTTCTATTTCAGTTTCTCTGTCTGAAAAATGGGATACTAACAGTATCCCATAAAATTACTATGAAATTAAATAAAATAACACATGTAAAGAGTTTAAAAAAGAACTAATAGATGGCAAGTACTCAATAAATATTAGTTATTTTTACTTTTCTTATCATCCTTGCGTACCTTAAAGTCCTCATATGTAGTCCTGTAACATACTAAAAGTCATAATTTTTTTTCCAAATTATGAAATTTCTCCTTCCATATTCTTTTGCTTCCAAAATTTTGTTCTCCTATTTTTACTTGGTGGTTTGATTTTTGTATTCATACAAAGTCAAGAACTAAGGATAGGAACCTCAGCAAAGAAAGATTATCCCATCCAGTAAAATGTACTAATATTTATTGGACAGCTAAAAGCAGATTATGAGAACAACCTTATTTTTCAAATGGTGAAATAAACTTCTGCAAGTTTCTAAAAATAAATTCTACCTATTAACCAGATTGAATATCTATAATTAAATATTTCTATATTAATTTTATTTTTAAAACAGTAGAGATTAAAATTCTTTCTAAAATCAAAACATTAGTTCTGTGGTTGTCTAACTTCCTAATCAAAAGTCATTTAAAACTTAAATTCCATTTCAGCCAGATTCTTTTGGTGTGAAGACAAAGGTGGATGTGAAAAACTAAAGAAATGAGAAAAACGTGGTATGTAACACTCTGGTAGAGAAGAGATAACATTTCTATGTCCTCAGTTGTTAAGGTGGTTCAGTCATTCATTCAAAACCAATAAAAGAGCTTTCATCCACAATGAGGGAGGAGGGATAAAATAAAGGGGGGCTACATAGCAGTGGAATAAATAGAATGAAGGGAAGGTGATCCAGGTCAATTTTGATAGCTCTAGATAAATTAAAGGAACTAAAAGTATTACTCTTTGTAAGCAAGGACTATTAGAGTTCCCAAAGCGGAATGTTAAGAAAAGGGGTAACTGCTGAATCCCAAAGGTAGAGTGCACATATTCCTTCCCTACTCTTGCAGTAGTTTACAAATACTATGATACTTCACCTAGATACTGCGCTTGCTACGTTGGTTCACAGTTCAGAGGAGGCTACAGAAACTTCCTCAAGGATTGCAGTCACTCATCTGTCCTAGGTGAAGCAGATATGCTTACCCATACTCATCTTGATTGGCAGGTTTTCCCTGCTTGCTGCTTCCACTAGATGTCTCCGGACTTCCATCACTGCCTCTTTGTGCTTGGTGTTCAATAAGGCTTCCCACAGAGCTTTGGCTGCAGTGTCACTGTAATAAAACCATTTAAAAAAAAAGCCTTAGACTAAATTCCTACTGAAACGTGGAAAGGGTTGAAAACAAAATAAAATTTTAAATATCTTTTTTGAACACTGATGTCGTCTTTCCTACTAGAGAAGTCTAAATATTAGGATTCAAAAATAATCCATTTTGATCAGCACAAAATAGTGAGGTATTACGGACAAGATAAAATCAAGCCTGAAAATGAAGGAGAGGGGGTAGAAGAATGGGAAGGAGGGGAAAAAGAAAAGTTATATTGTGCTATGAGAAGCACAGGAAAACAATTTTTTTTGAGATTTTGCATTAAAAATATTTCAGAGTAAATTCAGTATTGCTAGAGTAATAGATTAATGTTACATGAGTCAAGATTAAATGCATATCAAAAAGTTATTTACCTGTTATTATAAACATATCAATTTGAGATAATATCTAAGAAACACAAGCAATAAGCAACGAGAACCCTATTCCAAGATTATTCAATAGAATTCCTAATGAGTAGGCTTCCTATTAAATGAAAATCAGGAATTAGGCTAAGTAACCATAGCCTTAAGTATCCCACTTTGGGCCTTAGGTTAGAAGGATGGCCCTTACTGAAGCTTTCACAATTAACCGTTGATAACTGCCGAAGCACTATATCATGCAGAGCCTCATCTGGGCTCACATCTCCAACGGCCCTCTGTTTCATCCAACATGCCCTGTCCAAATTATAAATGACTCCAGTGTTCCTTCCGGAAGATCTCTGCATGTAGCCAAGTATACACATTTGTAGTAATGTTTTAAAAATTGAGTATAAAGAAACAAAGATGACTTCTGTCCCTTTCAACAGACATTTCCCTCCATTTAAAGCATCACTAATACTTTCAGTTAGCAACAATTTGAAAATGAATGCATGTTAATGATTTTTTTTTTAAGTTAGATATACCAAGATAGTAATTTAGCTTTAAAGTTCTACCTAGTATGGTAGATCTTTCAAGTCTGAAGCTGATTAGGAATCATGGACTGGTAACGTTTCAGCACCGACTTTAAGTCTGAGATAAATATTTCATTAAGTAGTAACTGTTTTTACTATCACCTATTTTGTCTGAGTGAACTAACAACACTGCTCACATATTCCACTTGTTTTCATTGATTATTACAGTCATCACTATAACCATATCTAATATTACATAACTGAATTTAAATTATCAGGTAATCTGCATGCTAAGCCCTATTCTCAGTGGTTCAGATAGAAATAAAAAACAAGGCAGTAGCTTTAAATGGTTTAAAGTTTGGAAGAAGAAGAAAAGAAACAAAGAAACTGTCCAAAAGTGTGGTAAGAGATCATGATCAATGCTCACATCAATTTCTCTGATTCTCCAGGAATAAAACAAAAAACCTTGCTATAGATACTTAGAGACTTAGCTAAAGGAAATTAGAATTTTTCTTAATAAGACTTTTAAGCAATGACTTCTGTGTTAGCGTCTAAGCTCATTAATTTAATTATATTGAAATTATTTAGACTGCACACAAAAAGACATCTTAAAACTACAACTGTTACTTTTATGAGTTCAGATTCTATAAATATTTCCAGAGCAGCTAGTAAAGTGGATGGACAGCGTTTGTTGTAGAAAAGAATGTTAAAAGTAATACTAAATTAAGTGTCTTTACATATACAGCAGGCTACTACCTAGTCCAACAAAAACGGATGGAAATCTATATTTCGTTTCAAGGACATCTAAAGAAGATTTTATAATATGCCTGAAAAAAACACTACAAATTCAAACAAATCAAACTATTTACACATAACCTAAACCCCTTGTGCGCCATTATAAACCTACTTTGCCTCGCTTGGTCTTTTAAATTCAGAAACAGCTGGGTAATATCATTTAATAATCAGGCCCACCCAAAAACATTTCTCTTTTTCATGATAATTTAAGGGAAAAAATTTTAAAGGTAAATAAAATATAATATGGAAAAAGACTTTCACACACTATGCTTAATTTTCTTCTAAAATATAATATGGTAGTATTTAAAAGTACCAACACATTCGATTTTAGAATTTACAAAAGAAGTTCTTATATCTCATTTGATCCTCACCTCATGAGTTAACCCATTGTTATTGGCCCAACTTACAGATGCCAAATGATTTATACTCAACTTGTAAATGGCAAAACCAGGACTCACTTAGATAACTGGCTTCCGAGCTCAGTAATTTTTCTACTATGCCATGCCATGCTTGTAGTAGGTCAACCATCAATCAAATAGAGAATCAAATATGTAGAATGTCAATTATTTACAACTTTCTGTGTTTGTTTTCTTTTCTAATCCTTAATGCAGCCTCTAATCTCCCTTTAAGTTCACAAGCAGGCTCCCGTAAGACAAGATGAAATAGAGTGAAGCAGATCCACATTAATTCATAACATAGGTAGTGTTCACTCTCAGCATTTTGTACCTTTTTGTTTAAACTATATCATACTATTCTTCTTGTAAGTCACCAATAATCATTCAAAGTCACTTTGCTACACAATGCCAATAATTTCCCACTTATATTCAAGTTTCTTGATACATTTTACTCCAAGACTTTGCTGAGTTTTAAATCATTCTTTATAAATATCACTTACATAAACTTAAAAAACTGAAGAATAAAGTCTAAATTGCCCTGTGGTATTATTTCTAATTAAGCTCTTATTTGATGTGATGTGCATTTGATATGCATTATACCATGAGAGAAAAGAAAAATAACCTTTTAGCTATTTTAACACTGATGAAACAGAGACAAAATAAAGTCACTTGTTTAAGATCATGGTTGATAATAAACAAGGCAAGATTTGTAGCACTGGGCCACCACTCAAAGTGCCATGAGCTGCTTCTGTGACCTTGGGCAACTAAGTTACCTTTCTGGGACATTACATCTCTTATGAGTATTATTAATGCTACTATTTTCATTTACTGAGAATGCAGTATGCCCTAGGCCATATGATATATTGTATCACGGAATAACAATACTTAAGGATAAACATAATTACCCCATTTCATATGTGAGAAAGTTGCTTCTTAAAAAATAAATAATATGCCCTAGTCACAAGTCAATAAATGAGGACTTGAACTCAAGTCTCTGTGAACTCCAAATCCATCCACTAACAATGATTTTACACAATTCTGTAAAAAAAAAAAAAAGGTTTGAACTAAAATACCGATTTTTGAGATTTCTTGGATTCTCTAACAAGCTATATTTACATGGTTTCTTTTATGCCTTGATGCTCCAAACATACATGTATGGATATGATTAACTGTAACACTAAGCAAAAGATGGGTGAATATCAGGGCCTCCCTGGTGGCGCAAGGGGTTAAGATGCAGCCTGTGAAGCTGTCTGCAGCCTCTGCAGCATGAGTTCCATCCCCGGCCAGGGAGCTGACCCACATGGCACAGCAGACCTCTCCTGCCTTGCTTGCTGCTCCCCTCAGCAGTGTACTTCAGTGGATCTGCCTGTTCTGTTCCCCACTCCATCTCCAGTGAATCCTCTCACCCTCCCCCCATCCCCGCACTTCTGGCCTGTATCCCAGCTCTTGTATGAATAAATAAAGAAAATCTTAATTAAAAAAAAGAAGAAGAAAAAATACAATAAGAAAATCTCAAAACAAAGATGGGTGAATATCCTGTGCTGTTAATTCTTCTATTAAAACCCTTTTCTTGATCACAAGTGCAGTAATAGTAATAGAGTTAACAAAAGAAATATTCCTAACAGCTTATAGATTAAATGACTTTCTACCCTTTCACTCATGTTTTTAAAGTCCTGTTTTTCAATGAGGTACATTTTATTTTGTTGGAGCTATTTGAATAAAATTATATTTCCTTCAGTAGATTCCTTGGAACATATCATATAAAAATAGAACATCCTATGAAAAGATCCAATTTGTTACTATGAAATATAATTAATTTCAGTATTGTCAGTAGCTACATAAAATGTCAAATACATACTGAATATATCCTTTTTTGATAAAACTGATTCTCTTGTATCCTGAAAGACCAAACCTATGACAAGACAGGCCAACAATAAACACAATAACTGCTAGATTAGTTTCTTAAGTCTCAGGAGACTTCTCTATGTGAGGATATGGTTCTTTCAGTTAATTCCTGGCTCATTATTCACCAGAATTACTCAACTGTAAATGAAATCTTAGAAGTTGCCTTGGTTTGGCATGTATGAAATGTCAAATGCAGTCTGTTGGAAACTAACAGGAAATATTCATCACCAAATAAAATATAAAGAGGACAACATTAATTTTTCAAAGGTGGCTGACTGTTGAGACATGGTACTACTTCAATCAGGTGGAAGCATGCGATTAAGAGACTGAGAATGAAATGTGAATGCACATCATTATCTTGTGACTAACTCAGAGAAAGGACTTCTACATTGCCTGCTCGGGAAGTGAAGCTTACTCACAGGATATGCAATTAACAGTCACAGTGTTCCAGCAGAAACATCATGATAACAAAAACGAACAAACAAACATCTTCAACTAATTTTCAACAGAGCAATGTGAGTCACAGTTTTTCACAACAGGGAATAATGGCCTCCATCAGTGGTGAGCTAAATGAGCTCTGAAGGTAGGGTTGCTAATTATTCACAGAAGTTTCAAGAGTCATCTTTCCTCTTGACTACCTTTTAAAACAATTACCTCATCTTTAACAAAATTATCCATTAAACTTCATCTCAATAGAAGAGAAAGCAACTAAACACAAAAGGATATTAAAGCAGAACTTTGGGACTGGAAAGAAGTCCTTCATTCACCTTTTCTTCAGAATATAAGCACACCCTATGTGTGGGCACTCAGGGAGGAGCTGTACCCATAGCCATGAGTGGTCATGGTCCAGTGTCCTGCCCTCATGGAGCTAACTAGCTAGCAGGCAAGCTACAACTGGGGGTGCTCCCGCAGAGGTGACCGAACCAGAGTATGGGACTTTGGAAGAGAGAAACACCTAACCTGGCCTGGGTGTAGGATTGGAGGGT